GACCAGACGAGTTATCTTTGACTGGACTAGACGAGTTATCTTTGACTGGACCAGGAGGAGTTATCTTTGACTGGACCAGGAGGAGTTATCTTTGACTGGACCAGACGAGTTATCTTTGACTGGACCAGGAGGAGTTATCTTTGACTGGACCAGGAGGAGTTATCTTTGACTGGACCAGGAGGAATTATCTGGGTTTACAGCTGGTTAAAGACTGATCAAGAATAAAATAAATATAAAGAATAAAATAAATATAAATAAAAATGAATAAGAATATTTAATCTAAAACTTAACAAAGAAGTAATTAATTGTTTAAGTTAATCTTGCAGAGAGAAAACTATTTGTATTATTACTGGTTGTGACAATGGAATTGTTAGAGTGCACAGACCTTTGAATGAAGATAACATACTGCATGGATTTGATAAGGTTTTTTTTAAAACTTTTCAATATAACTTTATTAGTTTTTCTTTATAAAATTTAATATGACTTCAAAATTTTATTCATTTAAATTTAATTGTGAAGAACATTTTCTTTATTCTCTCATCATTAAAAGTTAAGAAAATTGTTGAAATGAGTCATAAACAAACAGAATAAATTTGCAAAAATTTTGCAAATTTATTCTGTTTGTAAATTGCAAAATTACAAAAGTGTTTTTAGTTGATCTTATGATCTATATTTGTTAAATTGTTATTTTTTTATTTTTAACTATTTTTCATCACTTTTTTAATTTTTAATATTTTACTGTTTTTGTATACAAAGTTCATCCATTCATTTATAAACAAAGTCCATTCATTCATGTATGAACATAGTTCATACATGAATGAATAATACCTATACTTAAAATATTATTAATATGTAAGAATAAAATTAATCCATTGCTTCATCATTCATGCAAATATTTCATAGGCAAGTATATGTCCAACTAAACTTCGCTGTAAGAATTTGATAACACTGCCAGATTTAGGTAATACCTTGGTTTTAAAGTCTTTCTAATGCTTTTTTTGGAAACTTTGGTATTACTATGATTAGACTTAAATATGACCTTGGTATTTTGTTGTAAAACTTTGGGTGTAAAGTCTTGTTATTAACTCAGTTGTGAAGCTTTTGCATTATTTTGGTTTTGAAGCCTCGGATGTCAAATCTTGATATTATTTAGCTGTTAATTATTAATATTCACAAATTATTTATTTGTTAAAACATTTAAAAAAAACACACACACATTAGTTTAACCTCACAATTTATGCTTATAGACTTGTTTCAATTACTTTTTTTGTTGCACTTGACTTTCAATAGGGTTTCAGGTATAAGGGTATGATTTATAAACACAGCAAAGTTAAACTATTTTTTGTATTTTCGTAATATGTCCAGTAATATGTCCAATTGTTAACAATTATTAATAAAAAATTAATCATTACTAATTATAAGTAAAGAAAATCATAAATAAATAAAATATAAGGAAGATATTAAAAATATATACTGATGTTAAAACTATTATTAAAACCATTATATTAAAATATAAAAAATAGTTTCAACCTGACATAAGGTTCTTCTTTTTAATATTGGTTTTAGAAAAATGTTGGTTAAAAAAATGGTTTTTATTTTGTTTGATTATTGCTATTGTAGCTTTATTTTATGTATGATAACTATCTGAACTTTTAGGACAAAAATATTTTGAAAATAAAAAAAAAATTTATGTACCCTATGATTATAGACTAATATACTTTTATACAAACATTCTTTCTGGAAACTTTTGGATTTTGATTTTACTTTTGAATATATTTTAGTACTTTTTTTGAACAAATTATTGTTGTATTTATCTTTTCTTACCAGGAAGGTCAGTGTTTTGAGACCAAAGGTGGACCTATTCAAACCTTATTATCAGCTAATGTGACTAGATTTAACTTTAATGATGTCTTAGTTTGTGATACAAATGGAGTGTTTACAATAATGACCAATGGCCAGATTCTTAACAGAAGGTCAATATGTTTATCCAAGATTACCACACAAATTTTACTTCGGGATTCAGGTATTTACATTTTTACAATATTATCATCATTATTATAATTGTGATTTTTATCATGATTGTCATCAATCATTATCATCAATTATTATTATTATCATCATCATCATCATCAACTATTTTTATCATCATCGTCAATCATCTTTATCATTATTATCATCGAGCCTTGCAGGATTTTTTTTTAAATGGTCTTATTTTATACTGACTTTTTTTCCAGAGGGAGATACAAAGAATCTTTTAATGATAAAAAATAATCTTTTTCAATAAACAATTAAATAAACTTCCAGTCAGGTATTATGTTATTTTGGGTAGGGTAGCAGTAGGGTATTATGTTATTTTGGGTAGGGTAGCAGTAGGGTATTATGTTATTTTGGGTAGGGTAGCATGGGTATTATGTTACTTTGTTTTAAAACTAGAACTATAAAAACTTTTTCACTATCAAAGAAGAAGAAAAAGATTTTTGTAAATAATTATTAAAAACACTTTATTATATTTAATTTTGATATTTAAAATAAATTTTATTTCTCATTTGAATATAAGTCAATAAAACCAAAATGTGCGTTACCATTGTTACCATTTCTTTAGGTTAGCAAACAAAACATGTGTTACTGATCTCAAAAAGAATTATTTTAGAATCATCACTTATTTCATTTAGCGTTTTGTAATTTTTAAATAAGTTTTGTCAATATACTTTTAAAAATTTAAAAGATTAATTATATAAGTTCTTTTCTTGAAAAATTTAACAGTTTGAAAAAAATTTCCAACTGTTAAATTTTTCCTTATATTGTAAAACAAACTTGCAAAGTATATTATTTTTAATTTAATCAATTTATGTATCAATTTCTTTTTAATTTAATCAATTTAAAAAAATATGTAATCAATTTAATTATATTGTATTGTATACAACCTATGAACACACAAATAATATTTAGCGTCCAAGTCCAGTTTCAAAGTAGACTTTTTCTTTTGTTTATAAATCAAAAGATTTACAAATCTAGTCCTGAAACATTTTAATTGGACTCTCCATCTTAATTACATTTCCACAGTTAAAACCCCAGCAAACATGTCCTATTGGGGCCATATGGGTTTGCCTAAGTGGGCCCTTTGTGGGTTTTATATATGGGCTCAATATGGGCCCCATGTGGGCTAGCCCTTGAATACAAATTTGTATTCAAGGGCTAGCCCACATGGCACCCATTTAGGGCCCATATATGTGGTTAAAAAATTTTATCTTATTTTCTAAATTTAAATGCTATCCGATCGCATGATAGTGAGGCGTTATGATTCGTGGAATATCAGTAAAAAATTTATCGCTTAACTTAACTTAGCCGCGTGTTTATTTAAAGACTTGGTTCATGAATAATCATGTGTCTTGAGAAAATAATTTAGTTTTAATTTTCGTTGAAGAAAGATTTATATAGTGGCTATATCAAGATTTTTATATTATGGGTTTTTATATAACGCTTTTTTACAGAATTAGAACACAATTAATAAAGTCCCCAAAATACAAAAATATTTACAAAAATATTTGCTTGTGGTCATTTTCGCTAAAAAAACGCGTACGTACTTTATGACATAAAAAGATAATAAATGCGTACAACTTTTAGTATCTTCTTTGTTATCGTTTTCGTGTTTGAAAAAAACTCCGCTAGGCAATTAGCTGGAGGAGTATAAATCACATAACCATTCTTACTTTATGAAAAACCCCGTTTCTCAAATGTAATTATTTCTCAAAGCTTCTCTCAAAATTTAAACTAAATTCAAATTAACTCTTTTTTGAAAAATCTTCTTTTTATTCAAATTTAAGTCAAATCACTTTAAAGACTCCATAATAGTGCTATTAATGCCATGTATTAGTGGTAGTAAAAGAGTTTTAAATTGTATTTGAAAATTATTTCTTTAAACATTAAAGAGAACTTAAAAAAAAAGTTACAAAGTTAAAAGACTAAAAAAAAAATTTTTTAAGTTTAAAAAAGCTTTTGAAAGTGTATACTTTATTTGAGTTTTTATAAACCCACTAGCAAAAATGTTAATAGAATGACAGGCCTTGAAGAGAACTGTATTATTGTAATAAATAGTTAAGTTTTGTTTTTACTTTTTTTAAAATAGACTAATCCTTTTATTATTTTACTATATAAGTACTGTCGTATATTTGTTAATGTTTATTACTGTTTACTTTTTTCTATATCTTTTTGTATCTATATTTTTTCTGTTTATATCTTTTTTATATTTACACCTATTTTTTTATAAATATACGTATTCTTTTTCTATAATTATTCCACCTATACTTGATTTCATGTATTACTTCTATAAAGCTAGACTTAAGTCATATATTTATGACAACATTAAATTATATGTATCTAATTTAAAAATAAATAATTATTCAAAATATTATAAAAAATTTAAATAAATAAAAAAGTGGGACCCGCATATGCAGCCCATATGGGCTGCCCACTTGGGCCCCAACCCACGCCCAGCAACAATTTTCCTTGGAAAGGATGCAAGCAACCCATTTGGGCCCCAATTCTAATATGAATTGCTGGCTGGGACTGGTAAATTTAATTTTCCAAACAAAAGTGGGGGCATAACTGCATATGGAGGCACAACCGTTTTTTAATATTTGTCTTTGAAAAATGTTATCTAATATGGTAAAAAGCATACCACACGTTGGTAAAACAGTTTCCTTCATTTTGCTTATGTCAAAATCAGTGCCTGATGCGTTTCTGAGAAGATGTGCATAATAATGTTTATTTTGATAAAAATATTATATTTTCATCATATTTTTCCAAACCTTTCTTTTGAGAATTAAGCAATATTTGATTTTAGTGTTAAAGATATGTGTTATCAGCTTTATTTCATTAAGTGAAACTGTACTGTGTTAACAGCTTTATTTCATCAAGCTATGAAACTGTACTCTTTCTAAAAACTCTCTTCTGGGACAAAACCGCATAGACACACAGGAGACACAACCGCATACTTTTGATATTTATCAAAGTTAGATAATTACAAATAACAATATATACAATCGTTACACTTGAATATTTTCTTGTAAAAACTTGAATATAAATAGTTTTGTTTTGAGATGTTAGAAATAAGATTTCGTATTTTTTTATTTAATTTTTACAAATGAGTTTTTGATTAAAATATAAAGCTAAAAGTATAAATCGATCTTGTTATATTTATGTGTATATTATTATTATTATATACTGTAAGTATACAATTGTAAATTTCTTAATTTAAAAAAAAAAAACGCACCAAGAAAAGTGTACCACAACGATTTTTGTGAGGGTGCGATTGTGCTTCACAATGGGGGCAAAACCGTTTTTTTCACTAAGTATACTTTTTGTGTATTAACATTTTCAAAAACCGTTTTATTTTTTTCCTAATTGCAGCAATTTAAAGCTTAATAATGTGGTTATTCAAATAAACTGTTAAAAAGACACATTTCACTTTTATTTTCATATAACATCAATCCAAACGTTACGGGGGCGGTTATGCCTCCACTTCCCCTATATATGAAGCTATTTTTAACTACCATAATACAATGACCACTGTCAAAAACCTGGTTAAATATGTATGACCCAGAGTAGCCTCTGATTATGCTTAAATATTGAAATGTAAAGACAATAATAATTAAGTATTTAAAGTAATAAATATAATATAAATAAAAAATAATTTTTTATATTTTTATACTTAAAAATAATTTTTTATATTTTTATACTTAAATAAATATAAAGTATAAAAATATAAAAAAAAATTTCCTTAAAAAATTTTAATTTTGACAATTTTGTTTAATATTTAACAACTTTTGGATAAATATGTTCCAACTTTGGTCCATCAGAGTTTTTGTCATAAATCAAAACAAAAAATGTTTTGAAAAAAGACTTAAAACCTTTTTAAGATTTTTTTGAAAGAATTATATTAACATTCTTTCATTGAATCTTTCGACAACAATTTGTGCAGTTAAAATTGCGCCATCTTTGACCTGGACACGTACTTTGCATTTTTTTGAATTTGCAAGTGCTGACAATGTAGGTTGACTTGGTCTAGGTGTTAGTACACAACAGATTTCTTTCTGCAGGTTTTTTTAATTTTTAATTTTTTGTTCTTTAATTTTTACAAATTCGTAAAATAAATATAAAGTATAAAAATATAAAAAAGATTTTCCTTAAAAAATTTCATTTTTTACAATTTTGTTTAATATTTAACAACTTTTGAATAAATATGTTATAAGTGGTAGGTCTTCGCAAATGGCGGTCACGTTTTTTTAACGGTAAAAGAGAAAAAGAAAAGAAAAGAAAAGATAAATATAAAAATTAAAGATAAAACCAAATCATAATAACAAGTAAATAATTTTTTGTTTTATATCATAAATAATTTGTTAGCGGTCTTAAGATCGTCTTTAAACAAACGAAATTGAAAAGTCATACAAAAGGAATAGTAGAAAAAAAAAGAAAAAGAACTTCGAATTAAAAAAAAAAAAAGAAACACTTAAAAAAAAACTTAAAAAAAAAAAAAAAAGAACGAAAAGGAAGTAAACAAATGAAATAAAAATTAGAAAGTAAAGAGAAAAAAAAAATAAAAAAAGAAAAGAAGAATTAAATAAACTATGAAATGAAAGACGAAAAAACAAAGAAGAAAAAGTATTAGTAGTGCCAGAAGATTGTAGTGAAACTTTAGAAGAATTTAGTTTGTTTATCTTAAAATACGCTTTTAATTTAATGTAATTATTCTTATTTTTGAACATTATTTTTTTTTTTTTCTAGCTTTTCTTGCTTGTTTTCATTAATTTTTTCTTTTTTCTTATACTGTTTATTATTATATATACTTATTATTGTTTTTATTATTATTATTATAATAGTAATTATTGCTACTAGTATTATTACTATTATTATTTTTATATATCTATATAGTTTGTTAACTTAGTTACTATAGTTTTACTTATTAACTTATAATACTAAGCATAAGCTTAATAATTTATTATTATATTTTCCACTTAATATAACTATAATATTTTACTTATAATCATTTATAATTTATTATTATTTTAATATAAATTGTTTTTTTTTTACTTACAACTTATCAATTAACCAATTATAACTTTTTTTTAATATATATTTACGTTATTCTTCTTTTACTATATTAATAGTATTTTTTCATTATTTATTTTAACTGTTAAATAAATATTATTTTTGTTTTACTTATTTATCAATTGAATTATATTTATATTGTTAATAAATACTATTATTATTTTTATTATTTTTGGTTATATTGCTGTTCATATTACTTTTTGTTTCCTTATTTCAGTTCATTCAATCATTTTATTATATAAACTGTTCCACTTAAATGTCTACTCACTACAAAGATTGCTTCAAGAAAATTAATAAAAACCATCACTACCTTCAATGTTATCATTGCCTAAACCTTTTTCATAAAAAATGTTGTCGTCTGAATGATATTGAATTTAGAATATTGAAAAACTCTAAAACATCTTGGTTCTGTATTTCATGTAGGGAAAAAATTTTTCCATTCAATACTTTATCAGATAAGGAGCTGCACCTGCAAACAATAAATGATAAAGTGATTCATATTAATGAATTCAAAAACAACATATCATCTTTCCCAAACACCATACAGTCTAATCTTTATAATGAACTTAATGATTTTATTTCCCATCAACTTAATAACAACAATGACAATGACGCAAACCTCGAAGAATACCCTATTAATTGTAAATATACGGACATAGAAAGTTTTAACTCTTCTAAAATCGACAAAAATAATTTTTCTCTTTTTCATTTAAATATTGCTTCTCTTGTTAAAAATTTTGACGAATTAAACTCACTTTTATCTCTTATTAATCATAAATTCAGTATTATTGGCATAACTGAATTTAAACTAAAACATGACATTCTACCAACTATCCCATTAAATCTTACCGGTTATGTTTATGAGCACACTCCGACAAAATCTTATTTTGGAGGAGCTTTACTTTATATATCGAATACATTAATTTACAAACTTCGATATGATCTTAATATGCTTAAACCAAAGCTTTTAGAATCTGTTTGTGGAAATCATAATTACTAAAAAATCAAACATCATTATTGGCTGTATTTATCGCCATCCTAGTATGGATATTTCAGAATTTATTAAATCATATTTAATTCCACTTTTTGAAAAGCTATCTATGGAAAAAAACAAAACTACTTTTTTAATAGGCGATTTTAATGTCGATCTTTTATTAGCAAACTCAGATAATTCTGTCTCTGAATTTTTAGACATTATTGCTTTAAATAACTTTCTTCTCTTTATTTAATTGCCAACAAGAATCACAAATCACTTCAAAACTCTAATTGATAACATATTTTCTAATGCAACTTCTACAAATATTTTTGCCGGTAATTTTACTTCTACGGTATAAGATCATTTGCCCCAATTTTTAATACATCCTCTTTATAGAACCAGAATTAATACTCGTAAAAGCTGCATTTTTCGTCGAAATCTAAAACAAATAAATTGCGTTGAGTTATGTAGTGATTTCTCAAAAATTAATTAAGAAGGTAAGACTAATAAGTCATTTGAAGAGTTTTTCTCAAGTTTCAATTCTCTTTTAGATAAACACGCACCATTGAAAAAAGTCAGCAATCGCTGCTTATCAAGGGGTCTCAAACCTTGGATAACACAAGGAATCTTGACTTCTATTAAAATGCAAAATAAAATATTTAAAAAATTTCTTAAAGCAAAGAATCCTAATAACAAACTCAATCTAGAAAAATCTTATAAAACATATAGAAACTTACTTGTTACTCTCACCCGTCGTAGTAAAAAGAACCATTACTCTAAGTTCTTCTCTGACAATGCCAAAAATTTGAAATCTACATGGAATGGTATAAAGAACCTTTTAAACATTAGTTCGAGAGTTAACTCATCTCTGTTATGCTTTTCTTCTACCAACTCCATGATACTTGACCCCATTAAAATTTCGGAATCTTTTAATTCATTCTTTGTATCAGTTCCGGAAGATTTACAGAATAAGATCCACTCATCCAATACTGACTTTAATAAATATCTTAAAAATTCTAATCTTAATTCAATGTTCATAAAACCTACAGACAAAAACGAAGTATTATCGATTATTCATTCTCTTAATGACAGCAAGGCTTCTGGACCTAATAGCGTTCCAATACCTATTTTTAAAGCTCTTGCAAATGATATCTCTCCTGTACTTTCTGAACTATTTAATCTGTCATTCACAACCGGTGTATTCCCTGATATTTTAAAAACTACTTCTGTTATCCCAATTCATATAAAAGACTCAAAACGTGAATGTAATAACTACAGACCAATTTCATTATTATCAAATGTCAGCAAACTTTTAGAAAAACTTATGTATTCTCGTATTTACAACTTTTTAAATAATTCTGCTTGTTTTCATATTCGACAATTTGGGTTTCGCTCAAATCACTCCACTTCTCGCGCTCTTATTAGCATTACTGAAATGATTCGTGGTGCAATTGACAGTGGTTCTTTTGCTTGTGGTGTATTCATAGATCTTCAAAAAGCTTTTGATACGGTTGATCACAACATTCTAATAAAAAAGTTAAACTACTACGGAATACGTGGTATTGCTAATCATTGGTTTTCTTCATATATTACAGATCGCACTCAGTTTGTTTTAATTAATGGATTTGAATCCACATATAAAGTTATTAAATATGGCATTCCACAAGGTTCCGTTCTTGGACCGTTGTTGTTCTTATTATATATAAATGATTTATCTTGTTCGTTAAAAAATTCTATGATACATCATTATGCTGACGATACCAATCTTTTATATATCAACAAATCCCTCACGACTCTTTGTAAAAAAGTTAATCAAGATCTTCATTGCTTATGTAACTGGTTAAATAGTAACCGTATTTCCTTGAATTTCAATAAAACTGAATACATCATTTTTCATTCCCCTCAAAAAACTATTGATCATATTAAAATTAAAATTAACGGTAAAAAACTTTTTCCATCAAAATATAGAAAGTATCTTGGAATATATCTTGATGAAAACCTATCTTTGTATAATCAACTGAATCATCTAAAAAAAAAACTTACATGAGCTAACAGTATGCTTTCTCTAATTCGTTACTATGTTCCTATCCAAACTCTTCGAATGATTTATTTTTCTTTATTCTCTTCTCACCTTTGCTATTGTTGTATTGTTTGGGGTCAAAAAAGAAACTTTTTACTTAATAACATTGCTAGTTTACAACGCCTATCTATTAGAATAATGACGTTTTCCCCAATGAGATCTGATATCGAAAAAAAAATTTCTGAACTAAAAATCCTAAAACTCCATAATCTTGTAAAGTTTTACAATTGTCTTTTTGTGTTTGACTTTCTCCAAAATAAACTACCAAGCTCTTTTTCAAATTTTTTTATTAAAACAAACAAAGTTAATAATCATCACACCAGGAATACAGAAAATAATAAGCTATACTATTCTTTTTTCAGCACAATTAAATATGGTAAGTTTTCCATAAAACAACAATGTATTTCTCAATGGAACCAGTGTATTCCTGCATTAACAAAAAAGTCTAAGAAAAAATATCCACTTGTTACGAATTTTTTACTGCTCAACAGAATTCAATTTAAAAACATATTGTTGGACTGTATTTCTTTATAATTTCTCTCTGTACTATAGTTGTCTTGTGGTTTGATTTTTATTTTATTTATTATTTACCAATCTTATATTTATTTATTATTGTGTTATTAATGTTACATTTTATGTTATTATTATATCTAATTATCATCTATGATTTGTACATACAATTTATATTGTATTATAATATTCTTAATATTATTGGTACTTTATTGTTATTGTTATTATTTTGTATTATTACTATTATTATTACATATATCGTTATTATTTGTTTAACGATCTTTTCTTCTTTTCTTTCTTATTTATATATACAGATATTGAGTTTTTCCTTTTTTTTTTTTGTTTTTTTTGTTTTGTTTTGTTTGCTTTTGTTTCTTTTTTTTTTTTTTCTTTTTTTTTCTATTTATTTATTTATTTTTTCGTGAAATTTTTATGTTTTTTAGATGTCACTCCATTGACTAGTTTGTAACTATATGAGTGACACCTAACCAATTTATATTAATTTACGATGAAATTTGTAAATTTTATTGATATGGTTGAATAAAATAAAAAAATAAAAAATGTTCCGACTTTGGTCCATCAGAGTTTTTGTCATAAATCAAAACAAAAAATGTTTTGAAAAAAAACTCAAAACCTTTTTAAGATTTTTTTGAAGGAATTATATTAACATTCTTTCATTGATCCCAGGAATTCAAAATTTTGGGATGGTTTCAAAAGTTTTTTTTTTTTATGTATTCCTCTGAAAAATAATAAAAATAGGACTGTGGTAAAAATAAGTTGATCGTTTAAAAATTCGATTTGATCTTGGCAAGAATCAGATTTGGATCCAGATTTCAGTTTTTCTATATTTCAATGTTTAAACAATTACAAATTTTGAAAGTTTTTTTCATAATAAAGTTTTTTGTTAATGTGTTTAGTAATGTCATTATGTATTTTTTATATTTGCACAGGTTTATTATTTTTTTTTTTTTTTTACTTTAGCTGATAGTATTTCGATTGTGACAGGTTCGAGTTGCGGAACATTATTAGCTGTGAGTCCTTATGAAATAATTTGGAAATGTAGAGTTCCTGAACTTTTGAAGCATGAATCACAAGTAAGAATTACTTATCAATTAATCAACATTGATTCACAGTAAAGCTAATGTCTTACAGTCCTGTTTTTTTTTTGTTACAATTTAGGCTTTCAAAGAAAATTTTTAAATTATTTTTATAGAGAACAACAACTTCAATCACTTGTCTTCATTGTTTAAGCATCAACTCATCAACATGCGAGACAAACTATATTTTAGTAGCAGATTCGAACAATTGCGTTCATCTATTTCTTAATAGTTGTCTTATAGCTACATTTAACGTCCTTTCACAAGTAACTAGCATGTGTTCAGGGATTTTTCTTACTGAATCTGAAAACACGAAAGTGCAAAAACATATTTCAGGAAATCAAGTTGCCATGGCCACTTTATCTGGATCTATATATGTCTTGTCGAACATGAATGTTTTGTCATATTGCAATCTTTCATTTCCTATTACTAACATCCGCACTTTGATTGCAACAGGCGCAGATGAAGTAGACGCTATTTTGTGTGCGGGACATTTTAATAGCTTGCGTATAGTTCAAAATGGTGTTTGTGTAACAACGTTCAACACAAGTGATTGGGTTCATGTATTTGCAGTTCTCAAAGGCGCTGGCGAGTCAAATTTATTAGTTCTAGGGTGTTTAGATCGAACGATACGACTTGTCAAAATTGTTAAAAACCGTTAAGCTGGAAAAAAAAAGTGTATAAGTTGATTGTTTAAATACTACTACAAAATTTACTAGAGTAGCACAAATTTATTTCAATTTTTTGATTTAAAGCAAGTTTTTTTTTTTTTTTTTTTTGTGTGTGTGCATAATTGCTATTTCGGATCAACTTTAAATTTGTAATGTTAGAGAAAATGAATATTTATAGTTATGAATTGTTATTTAAAGTCAATCAATCATTTGCATTGATTTTGGTTCAGTTCAAAAAGTAAAAGTATGAAATTTGAATATTGGATTAAAAAAAATAGCTCGTTTTGTAATAGTTACTTGATAAATTGGTTAAAGATATTAAAGTAGGGGAAGCTTGTGTACCCAGGGCCACTAAGCCCTTTAAGATATTAAAGTAGAGCCTTTTTGTACCTAGGGTCAACCTACTATATTTGAAAACTATAAAGTTCTAAGTTATGCTACTCAGTCAGGTGATTAGTTGAACAAAATTTTATTTTTCAATCTTATTTTGATTTTCAGAGAGCGTTGCTATGGCAAGTTATAATTGGAAAATGCTTTTCGATGGTCTAAAGTAAGTTTTTGCCGCTGGTATCTCAGATTGTTTTACAATCTTAGAGAAAATGCTCTTCTATAAGTTCTTGTATATTAAATTGCTTGCTACTTCAGTACTAAATGCGATGTTCAATAAGTTTTCTCTCAATCTGGGTTTTTTAATAAATGACATTTTTCATGAGGCTATCAAGTCTTGTACCTAGGGCCACATAGTCTGCTTGTACCTAGGGCTATATGTGCGCTTCTCTGTTAAAGAATCGTTTTTCGATAATGAGGTAGAAGGTTGAATTTTGATTGGTGAAGAATATTTTTTTTACGCGGATGTACAATTTTGCTCAGAACTATGAGTCAATTTTTCTATTTAAGTGTTGCAATCACAAAATAAACTTGTTGAAAACTATCTAAGATTATATAAATTTTTAATCATATTTGTGTCTTTGTGGTCAATTTGTTATAGAATTAAACCTAATTTTCAGAAAGCAGCTCTAGGTACAATAGCTGGTAGCCATAGGTAAAATTAAAAAAAAAGTGTATTGTACCTAAAGTTACTAATTTTTAAACTCTTCTACATGACAGACTTTTATAATTTAAATTGTTATACCTCTGTATTTGGGGCTCGGTGATAAGACTAAGTTTGTCTTCTTCTAGCCCCAGTTATGTAAATAGGGTGGGGTGGGGGGTACTATGGATAGAATTTTATATATTTTTTTATAATATAATTTTTTTTTGTTAGTTAATAACCACCATAAAAACTTTTGTTATTTTTCTTTACATTCAGGGTGTATATAGTAACTTCACAATGAGTAGAACATAAATATATTTTCAATAACTAACTTGCTTTATGGATACTCATATTATATTTATTATATCACACTTATCACACTTATTGCTTTTCATGTATTTAAAAAATGTAACTGTATTGGTTATGTCTAGCAGTTTTTTTTTTTTACTGAGAAAAGAAGAATAAAGCTGAAAAGAAGATTTTCTTTTCAGCTTTATTCTTCTTTTCTTCTTGCAATCTTTTGACAACAATTTGTGCAGTTAAAATTGCGCCACCTGGACACGTACTTTGCATTTTTTTGAATTTGCAAGTGCTGACAATGTAGGTTGACTTGGACTAGGTGTTAGTGCACAACAGATTTCTTTCTGCAGGTTTTTTTTTTTTTTTAATTTTTAATTTTTTGTTCTTTAATTTTTACAAATTCGTAATATATAATATTATCTTTTACAAAGTATAGTAAAATTAAAAGAAAAAATATGTTTTACAAAGAATGAATAAAATAAATTGTAACGTATAAAAATTTACTTTAAAGAACGCGGGAAATTTGCAGAAGACCGATAGTCATGTCATTAAGAAACCGCTAGTTTAATATATTTTTAATAATAATATTTTTAAATATATATATTTAAAATAATTTATATTTAAAAGATAATGTTATGAGTTTCGGCAGAATAAAAATAAAAATGCAAAAAATAAAAACAAAGAATGTAGGCAAAAAGTTTTTAATGTTTTTAATTTTATTACAATGCACATAAATATAAGTAGGTACACGATTTGCTAAATAGTTCACGTGTTGATAAATAAGCATATTATTTATTATTATTTTATTGTTGTTGTTGTTTTTGAGATTAGTTTTTTTAAAACGTACGTTGAAGTTTCCCGTTCCTCTGGTATGGTATCTGTTTTTGCTATCTTGAAAAAAATTCTTTAAAAAGTGAGAAGGAACAAGTCCAAGTTTATATTTGAGCATAAACAACAAATTTTGGAATATATTGATTTAATATACATTTAATGCTTTTAAATTTTTTAAAAGTGGTTCGGTTTGCGAGAATCTATCCTTGTTAAAAACTATTCTAGCAGCATGCTTTTGTTTCTGATATAGTGTGGTTAGTTTGGATTTATGAGTACTCGCCCATGCAACATTAGCGTAAATTATTAGCTTTGAATGAACGAGAAGTATAGGAGCTTTAAATTATCAGGAGACAGTATAGAACTAGCTTTGTAAAGGATACCTATGTTTTTTGATATTTTGGTATTTAATATATCTATATGTGATTTCCATGAGATATTCTCATCAATAAGTATCCCTAGAAATTTAGTTGCATGGGTTCTCTCTATTTCTATAGTATCTATATTAAGCGAAGGTAAATCGGGAGGTATTTTTATATGGTTAGAATGAAAAAGAATGTATTTGGTTTTTTCTGTGTTTTTTTTAACAACAATTATTTTCTTTTTTGTTAGACACATCTACTTCCTCGTGCTTTTGTTGCATTTTCGGTTTTAATTTGTCAACTGGGTAAAGACCACTACCCATAAAATCACTTTTCAGAAGTGTGCTATCTATCTTACTAAGAAGAGCTTTCAGTAAAGTTAAAAATACAGACTATTTAAGCATTTTTATGTCTGCTTTCTATTAACAATTTTTAAGGATTTTAAAGAAAAGCCAGCATCAAGAAGTTGTAATGCGTGACTTGCGTCAGGAGGTAAGCAAAGTAGAATCATATGATTGTTCAGAGCCTTTTTAACAGTAGAATATGTTATATGGCTTTTGTGTCTATCACGCAGCAGCAACACAGGCTTTTCATAATTTTTTTACATGTATAATAAGCCTGTCAATCCAACTTTCAAAAATAATCTTTCATCCAACCTGTTTTTGTTACACCATACATTGCATTTTCTGACCATTTTAACACCATGCAACATAAAGATGACCAGTGTTTACCTCTTTTTATAAAGGACAGGGGGAATTAGACATTTGCCATTTGCTGACCTACAAAACAGTACAGTATATATTGATTTACCGCATAATAGAGCAATGTAATAGACTATTTTTTTCCGAACAAAGATTTTTCCTGCTGTAGGAAAAATCTTTGTTCGAAATTGGATCTGTACGGAAACCTGTTTCATCTAAATTAAATATGCTATGTATTAAATGAATTATCATTGTTTAATGCCTTCTCATTTAACTCAAAAAAATCTGTCATTTTTTTTAGAGAAAGATCATTAACTCTTGCTTTTGTCCAAAGTTCAGGTTTTCTTTTTCCAAGAACTACATTCCATCTTTTTTTAAAAGACATGCACCAGTCTTTCCCTGGCTTGTGATCTTTGAATGAAGTTTTTTGTAAGTAAATGTTATATAAGATTTAACGATCAGTTTGATATCTTCTCTATCTTGTGGAAAATTACTTAAAATAAACCCATGATCGCTTCCAATTCTTTTGTTATTTCTTTGGATTTGATCTGAGATCGTCTGTATAACTAACCGTAATGAATTTTAGAAGTCTTTGATACATTGTATACTGACTCCTCTTCCTTAACAAGCTGTGAGGCAATAATTAATTTGCTGTGATCGCATGTACCATTAGTCTGGCGTTGATATTCACAAGGCATGATTATTTATTTCAGTCTTAGTATTTTATCTAAAATGTTATAAAATAAATTTTAATTATATAAAATATAAAACTTAATTATAAAGTAATTAGGAATACAAAAATAAAGTACCAAATATTTCAGCAGAAGTTAAACTATATAGATATGTTTTACCATAGTCATTCAGGAAAAACTAATTTGAACAGTGATCTTAATGTAAATAGTTCAGTAGCATTATATAAAACTGTTATATGTAACTGAAAAATGTATATTATGTAATTAAAAACAAAATGATACTATATTATTATACCATATAAATAAATAAAATGATACTATATTATAAACCGAAAGTGAGCATATGTATATAAATAAATGTCTTAACTATATTTTATATATTTAATATATATCCGTTTTAATTGATCCACAATAACCAATACTGATGATGCCGTATTGATTCTATATTATTAAAATGATGAACTAAATGATTATTTTTTAATCAAGAAGGCAAAAAAAAACACGAAAAAACTCAGAAATATAAAAAATGCTCAACATTGAATAATGGATTTTAGTATTTGTTTATGCATGGTCAGGATCTGGCTTAACATCTGTTATAGGGTTGTCGGTAAAATGCGAACTGCGAACCGGTAAAATGCGAACTTTTTTGCGAACCAAAACATATTTTAAAGACCATTATTGTTATGATAAAATATAATAATAAAAAAATTCTCCTATTCTTAATTATCTATTTTAAAACCTTATTTAAAATAAAAATTTTATTTTTAACTGAAATACATGCGCGGAGTGTTGCTACATCGACTATCTTATAGCCTGACTCGCAATGGAGTGCTGCTAAATCGACTGGGGGTTTGGTTTGGGCAGGCAGTCTATCAAATAGTTAAAATAAAAATAAAAATTTTGAATTGTGTTTAGTCTAGTTTCGTTTAATTTCCTTTTATTTATTTTTTAAATTAATGTTTTCGCTGAAAAGTCCTTAAAATATACCGCTAAATTAACTATATAACGGAAATAAAATATTACATCATAAACAACCAATAGGACGATGATTCGCAAAAAAGTTCGCATTTTACCAGTTCGCAGTTCGCGGTTCGCAGTTCGCATTTTACCTAGTACTCTGTTATAGTGAAAAAAGTAAATTTT